CCGCCAAATTGATCATCTTTGGTTGGACTCCACTGTTACGCGGTTGTGTGTGCACACCACTGAGAAGTACTATGTTATAACAAAACAACTATCCATTGAGTTCAGCTTTTCAGTGGTTGTCTAGCTTTAATTGGTTCATGATTTTAATAAAAATGAACAACTTTCACAATTCTATACGTATATTAATTTTGTTTAATTAAATAATGCTCATCATGGTGAGTGAGAATTAAATAAATAGATATTTTATGTGACATACCACATAAAATCTTAGTAGAGGGTGTTATAGTTACTGTGTAATATACTGATATCATTTAGAAAACAAAAGTGTATCCCAGAATTCTAAAACAGAATCACATGGACCTATAGTTTCATTGAAGAAATTAGCATCTAGAAATAAGTGATGGAAGTACTTATTCGGTCACCTGTAAAGAAATAATTCAAGTTTACCTACAAATACTTTTCCCACAAACTATGGTCATTTTATCAAAAAAATAATTTACACGAAATAATTGTTTCAATTCATTGACTACTACTTCAGTACAATTTTCTTCTTCTTCACTAGCCACTATAAGAGAAGCATGTGCCACCGGAGTGTTCAAATTTAAACATTTACATGCTCCTCATCTACGTGAATCGTGCCTAGCACCTCATCACAGTCACCTATTTTAACTCAGATATCAATAATGATGAATTACATAACCTATCTTGCAGAGTGAGATCTATCGCATTGAGTAAATACTTTCCTTGAGTTCTTTAAATGACTTGAATTAAAATGTACACATGTGTGTCAAATTTTAAAATGCTCTTGTATGATAGAAATTAAAACCAAAACTGTTTCGCAAATAAACGCATGGTTAATACAATGCTTCATCACTATAGTGCATTTATTTTACATGTATAATGAAACTTAACCAGATCAGAAGTATATATAACTAAGTTATAGCTTAAATCAAAAACAAATATATCAATCTAATTCTAAACGAAATTTGAAAAGTACTTCAATACAATCGATAGTAATAAATTAGGCTACATCCAATATATAGTTGCTATGATTAGAAGGAATATGTTTAAAACATTAGAAAATTTACACATCTTACAATAACAACTAAACCATTGTCACTATACTAGCTTATGAAATAAATTCTTTTTATGAATACATTTTTCATTGATAATATTAAAATGTACGGTATTCTACGAATACTGTACAGAATCTCTTTGATTTGTTTAGAAGCGAGTGCCTTATCAATGTTGCTAATCATAAAGTGGGTGCAACTAATCGGCCAAGCATACAATTGTTGTATAATTTTAGTTTTTACAGAATTTCATCTACTTAAGTCGTCCATTACACGAGTGAAAACTATCCCAATAGGTTATATGTACAAAGTAATATATAATAAACTCGTAATTTAAGAAGATTCGACTCTGTATGTCTTCTTTTTGATAGTGTTACATCTTTTGATTCGAGTTTTGGAGGCATGAATCGTTCACTGCTCTTTTGGGTAACATAATCAATCCGAAATCTAGAAAGAAGTTACGTTCTGAAAATAAAATTATTTAAATAATTATTGGCGTTAAATTATTTTTTTCAGACGACTTCATTTGCACCTGTTTGTCTATGGTAGCTGTGTCATTTTTGTATTTTGCAGTTTGATTGACTGTTTTGTCTGGTTAATTTGAAGACGTGTGATTGATCTGTTTTTGTTTCATCAGAAAATAAAATAATTTAGTTGGGATAACGTGACACCGCTAAGAGCAGTTGCCTAGGATCTAAGACTTCTTAATTTTAAAATAAATTTTTTTATTAGCGGACGGAAACTAAAATTACTTTGTGAGGTCAGTTTGTCACACCATATGACGAAGCTGCTTTATATAGAAAGTTTTAACATGGATAAAAGCCTTATAAAACACTTCGAGAAATCTGAGAAAATAATATTCATCTTGCAATAATAACTCAAACGTTTATGCGAACAACGCTAGAGGGTGCGTAAGTTCAGATGACAATGGTACAGACGCCGAATTCCGTCACTAGCCAGCACTAATTTCTTTATTTACACAAAAAAATCATATGATCAAAAATATTGATTTCCACAGGTAAAAAATTGGTATTTAAACCACGATATCATTAAAAAAATGAAAATGCTTGTTTGGACGATTAGTTCAATGAAACATATAATTTTATAAAATAATTCAGAACCAGTTTACATGGCATTCACAGTTTCACAAATAAAAACGAGTGCATAGGCATATACTTAGAACTATGACAACTCAGCAGTATGCCTTTTAAAGCAGAAGACAACAAATATGACTGCTAACCTTATTTAATGTAACCCATAGATATAAAAAGAATTCAATGTTACCAAATAAAATCTTGACAAATAAGACAAACTTTTATCTAAAAGACATACGTACGGAAAATGAGTTCCGTTTCCTTAAGAAAGAACTCTTAAACATTGTCAGGTTCTAAAATAGCATCTTCGTTAGGCCTCATAGTGGTCAAGATAGAAAAATGTATTGCCTACATAAGGCTTTGTAGACAGGTTCACTTCAGAGTCGACTTTGTGTTCGTGATAAAATTATTTGAATTTTGCCAGCACTTTCTCTAATATAACGATACTCAATTTTCCTTAATCGCGCAAATGATTGTTTAGTTGAGACAAATTTGCATGATGACACCTTACCTTAAAACTTACTGATTCAAACAAATAAGTGCCCATAGTCATTCAAACTAAACTACTTACCCTACCTGATATTAAAACACAAAATTAAATGAGTTTATTTGCATGAAACATTTGCCGAATAATAGGGTTGATGTTTTTACATCACATGTAACCATTATCAAAGTGTTTTGTGATTAAAACTTCTGACAATATGACAAAATACAAACCAATACTGACTGGTTACTGGCTCATGAACAATTTCATTTCATATGGTTTTCAATGCTGAATATTATTAAGCAACTGAGCTACGTAGTATCCACATCTGACATTAGGTGACTCAGGACGAAAGTAGTCCAACACAAGCGTCTATGGCTGTAACTTTTGTTCAAATAACCGACGATGAACAACTTTTATCAATATCCCAGAGGGATATTGCTGGTCTTCATTAATTAGTTCCAAACCTAAATCTAAAGCATCTTCTTGACTGCTTTTGAACTACCAAGAGGCATACAATGTCTTAAGCTCTTTATATCAAATGTATTAAGTTGGCAAGTTTATAGCTCATATGTATTTAGGTTTAGTTTTTTTTTAAATATCATTCCCCAGTAACTTTATTTCGACTTCATCAGAATGTTTATTATTTGAGTATTTTTGTCATCGTACTTGGATATCAATAGCATTTATTACGTGACATCATATCTCAGATGTTTGTCGACACTTTCAAAAGCTTACGAACATTTCTCCTTAATTTAAAGTAAGTGGAAATAAAATCACTCTCACAGTTGAGAATGTAAACTCTGGCTGGGACAAGTTTCACTAGTGGCTTTTTCATCATGTATCTTGTGCCTTGCAAACATTAGTTCTGTATGAAGTCACGGTGCAATTTTTCACGTGCTATATCGATTTCAAACCATTTTGTTAGGAAACTTAGTTCATTTTTTAAAACTGAACTGTTTTAGTCACGCGTAAAGTTCTATACTTTACACACAAACAACCAAAGTCTCGTTGCAAACAGTTCATTTTTCAGAAACACACGACTTAGACAAATTTCTGGCCTCGGCCATCATTAGAGTTCACCATCAAATATTAGACGATCAATCACGATATGGCCCACTACTAGATAGGGACTAATAAATTTCGCCTAAAGATTAAAATGCCACATCGGACTATAAAACACATATTTCAACTAATAAAGTATATTTTTATCATTTCACAAAGTCATCTTGTTCAAAACCTTCAAACACTAAGCAAGGCTTTCCAAAAACAAGTACGTAACATGGCATCTTCGCCGAACCACTCAAAATGTTTGACAATTAAATACCGGTCACATCGACTAAACCAAATAAAACTACATGTTGGCAAATTCAGTCAATAAACAAGCAAAATTGAAGCCCGGGTGAATTGTTAGAAGTCTGTGCGCTATGCAATCAGTCAAATTATATACATGATATGATGTAGAAAACTACTGATTAAACTATATAACTTTCAGACTTTCCTGATTCTATTTCATCTACAAAATTATTTAGTTCACATTACAGCTGCTACCTTCAACGTTTAATCTAATATTCATTTAGAGAGAGTAACTGGAGGCATATGGAACATTAGTTGATACATAAGCTGATCACCCCATTTTAGGGTTATCTTTCATTGGACAAATAAATGAATGTAGTTAAATGAGTAGTCATAAAATAGCAAAAATTCTAGAACCTTCGTGTATACAAATGTTCAGAAGACGTAATTCATTGACAAAATTTGCACGTTTTGGATCAACTTTCGTAAAATTAATTCCGGAAAAACTAATGAAACCATATTAAATTGAATTAATAATTAATAATAAATAATTTGAAGTAATCTGATTGTCTTATATTCGCCATACACTAATATGGACTTTCCAAAGATGATTCACCATCACAAATCTCATTTTCGCCATTTCGAAAAATAAGGTTCAAATAGACTACTCATTCAAGATGTTCTGGTATAAATCATTTTGTTCAACAAATCGAGAAATATGTCGGTAATTTGTTCTCCCATGAATTATATATGTGCATCTTTCACTTTATAATGAAAAATAGAAGAAAAACGAATTCCCATGAAACTCTCTGAAAGGTAAAACTTCATCGTACGTTGTTTTATTGGCAGTTTAAATCAAGACATTTTTGAGGTAAGAAAAAAACCAATATTTAATAATAAAAAAATAGATAGCTATTCGTTGCGACTATTCTGTTCACGTAATTGACGACACTAGACTTGAAAAAAGTTAATACCAGGGGGATATTCTGATGATTACTTTGATTTGATTTAATCAACCGTAATGGTGGAAGAAAACATTTAGTAATAACATACCTTCTCGCCTTCGAATTTCTATATTCGCTATCGCTGATTGTAAAATTGTTATTAATAAAATGTGTTTCATTTGTATATTCCATGAATGTCACCATTTAAATAGAAATCACTCAAGTAAATGTGCATGCGCGATAACAGTGTATGAAAACAAAAACATACAAAACTTTGCAATGATAGAATTTGGTCGCTCAAACAAGAGAGTTACAATGCATGCTGAATTTCGCCTAATGTTGTTGAGTGCAGCAATACAATACTTCTTCTCACTTGTAATACTTTATTGTTAATCGATGAGTAAATTAAACATCAAGCTTTTCCACTGTGCAAGCAATGCATGTCTCTTCAAGAGTCTGTCAATTTTAATAATCATAACATCACATGTATTTTTTAGATACAGTGATATAATTCTTGTTTTCTGAAATATCTCGCATATTTGAAAGTTTTATGTTTTCATCACTTTGGGATTCGTACTTAAGCTTTTAAATAATAGTACTTAAACTCATGCAACTTTGCAGCTCATTCCATTCTGACCTGAGAATATTGAAGCCTGGTTCTATTACGATACAACTCAAGAAACGAGACAACGGATTCCTTGTTCTTCAACTTCGAGAATGCTTGTAATAAAGTCCCACACAAAGAGCTATGCATCAAAGTCAAGTACTTTGAAGTCAGTAACCCACGAAACTCATAGTTTGTTCCACTCGTAACCGAACCCAAACAAAGTCTAAAGTACAACAACTCTTATCGCCAAAGCCAATAAAAAATGGAGTTGTTCAGGAAAGTTCATTACTCCCTCTTATGTTTCTCATGTACACAAAGAGTATGTGTAAAACCGTAAAATTTGGGGTACCTGACGCACATGCTGATAATCCCGAAATAGCTATAGGTTCGAAGTCTTAAATGAAAGTACATCCCAGATTAGAAATAATCATAAGAACATAACTTGAATAAAGAAATATAGTTTCTATAAAACCATTGCCATTGTGGGATCATGGATTCCCGAGAAAATCACCATAAATTATTACTTTTCCCTGAACAAATCTGGTGTCCGGAAGCTCAACTGAGCGTACGTCCTAGATAGAAATTAAATAGAAAGCTCACACTTTGTTGAATATGTCTTCTCTGTCGCTCTAAACCCAGACGAAGGACCGTTTTCTTAATAAACGACTTTTTCACAGTTCAGGCTAAGCTCATCGCTTTCAAAGTATATACACGACCTCCCTTAAGTGCTGCTTATTCACCCTCTCAAACATGGATACCACAGACACAATACATGTGGGAGATATCCAGAGGGGATTCACACGTCACTTGCTAGGATATGACTCCATCCCTTTGCCTAAACAGCTAGACGTACACACCTTTCCTTAGAACACGTATTGCACTATCGACTGATGAACAAACCAATTTCTTGTGTGGAACGTTACATGTTCTTCCTTGTTTATACTTGAAGTAGACTAACAACTCGCCGGACCTGTCAATACTATTTAAGTATAACCGGTATCTAGAGACGTTCACTGTTGTCCTAAAGATTTATTTAGTGAACCTCACAATCCCCTGCCTACACCGGTGGTCTACCATTTGTAGAGCCTGTAATATATCAACTGGGAATGATACCACAACAAGCCATTAACACCAAGCTGTAGTGAGTTTCTTTGTGTCTATTTTTCACTTTTTTGCAACTTGCACATGTATTTTACTGAACTATCATTGATTTTACTTCATTACACATTGCCTCGTTTACGACTATTGCATTCCTACACACTTCCACTTACTTTCATGAACACGTAACCTGTATTAGAACGAAAACCGGTGCTTTCAACGTGGTATGATCGCGTGATACTTAGGTTGCCCTTCTGCGCTAACTATTCAGACTCATGTGTCCAATTTTCTGTTCAACTAAGATAACCAATAACATGCCAACTCAGACTCCCACACTATAGTTTCGTTGTTGACGTCGGATGAAAAGGAAGGACGAATTAAAACAAACAGACAATAAAATATATTTACTTTCTTCGTGTTGAAAAGATGTTGAAATCGCTCAGAAGGGCCTATTCCGAGCATTGACAGATCTAAGTCTGCAGAAATGTACACTAAGAAACATTGTCTGTTAAACTCTAAACCTGGCTTTACATCTCTGCACAATTGTTCAACTGAATATATTGACCAAAACCCATGATTTCAATCCCTGCTATTACGGTAGTTTGCTCCATTCTAGTACATGTATATTAATTTTTTGAAAATCTGCGTCATATGTTTGACGCTCGTAGCTGTTTTTCTCGTGACTGGGTCACTTGAAAGTTTTGAGCTTTGAGAGGATATTGAGCCATCGGATGAAGAACATTATGAAGCACGATCCCCTCGTAAAATTGAGAAGTAAACGATTGATATTTATATATGATGTTTTGATTTCAATAGGAGTTTACGCTCCAACTTTTGACCCCCTGATGTCAGCTGCCACTAGCTTACCAGTCTAAGAGTAGGAAAACTAACCGTAGAGACCTGAGAGAGATAAAAGCACAAACCAACGGGTATCGGAACATGTTTGGTCTGTGCCTTGACCAGTAAATAAACGCAGCCAGGAAACGCTTAGGAAATGCGGTCATAAAGCCAGGTATATTTGTAATGGGGAGGATGACATGACATTGATGTTGGCCACTCAACTCACTGATAATTTCCCAGAATCTCAAATTCAGTGTAACATGTGATCTCCACCTTAGGTTGAATGCACACTTCACAGTGCTACTCTAATGTGATAATCAGGAAAAGTGGTCTTTTTGGTGACTAGCCAAAACAAACAAAACATCACCCGCCTAACACAGATTATGGAAGAGAACATTCTACAGAAATGCGAAGTAACACCACTACTACCATATGGGCCAGTCCATGGCTTGCTATCGTCAATCAGAGTTATCCATCTTCAAACCGGGCAATGTTTGGTAAAGCATTGAAGTCCCAGTGATTTACCATCTAACGTAGAAATTGTTCATCTCAATGGTATGAACTGAGTGAGATTCTACAACAGGATTACGGAGAAAAGTTAACTGAGAATTTTTTAGAATACTCAGAAACCTTATATTCATTCATAAAACATTGGATGGAGATCAGACTGTATCATAAGTGGAAGTGATATCAACAGTGGAAGTCGATCACAACAAAACACAGATATTCTTACACTTCTTAAGGAATATGAAATGTTCAGAGATATATTAGACTCTGATATAAATAAATTTAGTAATCTACTCTCTGGATATGGTGACCACCTAAGAACTAGGTTTCTGCTGTCTGATAACTAAACTCGGTAAAGGAAAAACTATAATATTCTGTGAAATACGTTCCAAACGATTAAAATAGAAAAGAGACGTCATCAGAAATCCCCAACACAAATATTTGTACCTGTTTATAACATAAGACAGTTTGTCAGGTGACTGGAAAACAACAATAGTAAGTCCTGTTCTCTGAACAAATAGGGTGTAAATCTGAGAATTACATTCCTACGAGTTTAACTATCGTAGTTACCGACATCCTAGATAGGATTATTTGGGAGTTGTTTATGTATCTAGGTGGAAACTTGGTTCCTTCTGAAATGCAGAATGTGTATGGAGCAGGATTCTCATGTCTCACAAACCTATTAGTAATATGAGAAAGTTAGTGCATTATGAACGATCAGAAACTATCTGGAGATGAGAGCTTGATTGACCTTAGTACAGTTATTCATGAAGTTTCATACAACACGCAGTTATACAAGCTAAGCGACGTAAAGATCTGTAGGTGACATACTTATATGGATGAACGGCTGTCAACAATAAATTTGGGCCAACTTCAAGTCGTCTAACCGTAAGGTTGTGTTCAGTGAAGTACAAAAGCCGTTAACGATAAATGCTACCAAGTACATCGTCACGTATCCTGGTCAACAAGGTGCCATTGAATGCACTCAGTAATATTGGGCTACCCGTTGTTCAGACACAAATTGACCAGGGATTCATTGTCGGTTATGCCTTGAAACCTCTGCACATTGGTGCACAATGGCTTTTTGAAGTCATAAGACTCTCTGGTTAATGTATATGGCCGTTGAATAAGTAGATGTTTAAGCCTTTCAAATTTCTTTTACCGTATTCGTTCAACCTGCAAACGAGCGTTACATATGAACATGCAGACCCTGTACAAAAAAGACAATGGAATTGTAGAAGAAGTTCAAAGAATCCCGCTAATTTGATTTCACTAATCCCAAAGCTGTCGAACGATGAGGGACTAGTTAAATTGAACCTATCCCGCGGCCATACAGAAAGGCTTGTAGCGGTAAATAGCTCCCAAAGCTCAAGAGCTCTGTAAGTTTTCGATATTTGATGATGACCACATTGGTTTCAATGGGTACGTTGTGCACAACTCCTACAACTGCCAGCCAGCTTAGACTAGTCACTTCTCGATTTATCGATACTCCATCAAACATATCTTCAAGAGTTCAACGGATTAGCAGGTTTTGATCATAAAAGGTGTTAATGGTTAAGGTGTTGCCAAACTCTGAATACTTGTGGCATCTTTAAACTAGAAGTGACCTGATCGGTCTCTAAGTTGCTTGATGATATTTTCACACATGACATGTCTTCATTTCCCATGCTTCTCAGGATATAAAATTTACCAGGCTACTTCAAAAAGTTCCAAAGCCCAAAAGCAAATCACTTGTTAGCAGACTAACCACTTTCTCATTGGATCGTCAAGCAGTTGAACTCTTTATCTTATCACGTAGTCAGAGCCTTATCTTTTGACATCCTTTAAGAAAGTTTAAATAAACCGAGATAACTCTATCTTAACGTCAAACCTTGAATATCCAACCTATTCTCCGTCATTAGCAGTAACTGCAATTGTACTCTATGTCATGGCGTGTAATACAAAAGATTCGCTGTGACCTCAAGGCCACTCTGTTCAATGAGCCGGTTGATATGGCCTTATTACACTTGTACTTTTTTTAGAAGACAGTCTCAATACGGCTTACAGTCATGGTATCGATATTTTATACCTGACTCATATGCTTCGGTTGGAATTTGGAACTCTCGTCTATCCAATGATATTTTCCGGAGTATTTCAGTTCGTAAGTCCCACAGCAGAATTCCTAAAACCCATAGGTGATCACGGTTTAGAAATACTGCGAAAAATCAATTCTGGCAAAATCGTGTCACCATTGGACTATGACATAGTAAACCTTCATTGTCTATAAATTGTTTTAATAATAGTTCGCTAATAAACTAGATGAACTAGATGTAATGTCCTTAGATTTTGTCGAAGAAGTCATCATGAGGTTTGAAGCCGGTTTCCTAACTTACATTAAAGTTATATGAATACTCAAGCTGCGGTAGACGTAAGGGATTCGACATCTCATGCGTTTATTCGAGGATATTTGAATTTCCGAGAAGTTGATAGATTACTAAAGTTAATCGAAAGTAGAGTATGAAAAATTTAAACTGCTTAATGTTTAGTCAAAAACGGGAATCTTCGTAGATTTCGCTTCTGCAGTTCTGATGATGGACGTGTTTTTACGAAAAGGTGAATGGAATTCTGCTGTTGCTGTTTCATGGGAACTCTGCCTTCAGGAATATTTCAGCTTAGAGAATGTCAAACCCCTTGTCTTTGCTACTTCACTTTTTTCATGCATAAAGTCAATAGAAAATGATTCGTTTTTGGTCAAAGAATCCCAACCGGAGGATGACAGGGAGGTAAGGTATCAGATTTGTTAATAAAGACTCCATTTGAGACAGTCTTGTCAGGAATAGCTCCCTTTTCAATTAGTTAAGAAGAAATTGATGAGTAAGAATAAGGTTCGTTAGATTCTTTAACTTAGAGACACGAATTATGGTAATAATATTTCTAGTGTTTCATTGTGCTGAAATTAAGTGGAGTAGTGCAAATATAAGTGTGTTGGTTGTACTAATTCTGTAATCTCCGACTGACATAGGCTTTCCTCGTATTTGTTGTTCATTAGAAATAGCAAGCCAGATGCTATATATGTAATTACTTGGTAAATGTAGCCCAAATATTAAATAAGTCGAGTTTCTCATAAATAATAAAGCCTTTTCAAAATGACTAAATTCGTTAGTAGCGAGACTAAGTAATCGCCTTAGTGCACGTAGCTACCCTTACTAGATCAATTTCCAAGGCTAATAAACTAAGGCAGTATTCTGGCCCTCACAGAAACTGAATGATGGAGTGCGGCGCATATATATATTTGGTGCCTTCATGTACAAATGCTGATATGTTTGAATGAGTAAATAGCCATAAACTTTAAATGTGGGTAGGAGTTTCGACCTTTTTCTTTTCAGAAATACTACTGGTGACAGAGTTAGAAGGCACATCTACATCTATGCGTGCTTATCAGTGTTTTTTTTTCTCAAAAATCATGTACGCATATCTAAAATGAAACTGAATAGATAGTTACCGTAATATAACTGTTATAGTCGCTATAATCTGGCCAACTGCAAATAAAACAGTCTGGTAATACTACTAATCCCCAAGTAAAAATTTGGCTTAGAATCGAATACGTAATACCATAATTTATAAGTGTGTTACATTATTAATGTTATTTAGTCAACAACCGCTTAGTTGAAACCTTTTGTTCATATTCGATACTCCCACTCTTACTAGTTCATACAAATTCACCTCAGGTTTCAGGAAGACAAAAGGTGAGAGTTAGCTGCATTCTGTCACGTCATTGGGGGCTTCCTAACAGCTGGTAACTCTCAGTCCAGTTAAATTTACCTTCTAATAATATCGTCCTAAATTTTTTCACTTCCGACCCTGATGACATTCCTATGTTATTATTCCTGTTTTTTAGATTGAACAAAAATTGGTTCCTTATGTTAGGAACCCAAACTATGATAACTTTTTCGATATAAAGCGACCCAAGTTAAAAACTGGTTATACGCTATTGCATTTGTCTCATGTGTTAAACAGTCGATGCTCACTTTTTCAAACTACCCCAGTGTGGAAAAGCCTATCTAAACATGTGGACAGTTTTCGTCTAATGATGAGAATTTTCGGACTTGCTCTTTCTGAACAGTGTGACAAATTATTAGTTGAAATCAGAAAAGTTGATGAGTCAGCAATACAGTTGGGGGGATTGGACCCTACAGTGGTAAGTATCGTCATTTTCTAGGATTTGAGTATATCAACATAATTTGTAGGTGAAAAAGCTAATAAGCATTGTTGATACTTGTGAAACCCGATCCGATGACTCGTCTCTAAAACCAGGAGAACCGCAGGTTCCAAGTGTATCAGATGTAAAATCAGTGCAGAATGAACTTCTGGTAAGCAAGTTAACAGCCATACCTAGTTATATTTTAGCGTATTCAGGGCGGACCACAATGTACCACACAAAACTTTTTTAAAGTGGTCGAAGAGTTTGTCTTCAATGGGGTAATTAATAACTCAGAATGTATGAAGCAGGAGTTAGAGGCAGTTTCTGATTTGTATGATAAATTTGATGAAGAACGGAGAAAAGAATACACTGAAGCTGTCAAAATGCAAAAATCTGAAAAGGTTGTTGAAAAAGCCAAAGAAAAATTAAGGCAAATCCTAGATAGAGAGGAACAAATAACATACTTCCAGAATGGTACGAAAATAATAAAGGATGCATGGTTAGCGCCTCGAACACGTCAAGAAGCTCGTTGGTCAAGACTAAAGGAGTGGAAAAGTGAAATTTCTTCTCAAAAAGAAAAGCAGAATGATAGTTCGCCCGTTTAATGAATGTAAAACTGTACATATATACTTTTAATAATAATACGTTTATTTACAAAATTTACTGGTATACATCGTATCAGCTACCCAATATTGTCTCCAGGATGTAGATGTACGGATACATCCGCTTTTTAACAGGAACTTTGGTTGATAGGTGTTTACAGTTAGAAGTAATTATCAGAATAAATTATAAATTTCTAATCGTAGATCATGCTGTGACATTGTAGTATTCGCTAAACAGAGCTGTAGCTTTAAGGAAAATGCAATCAGAAAGCTTTCTTTACATAAATATCACCTATACTTTAAGACTGTGGACTAAGCTCAATTGTTTTTAACTAGTGGGAGGAATCACTTCACATTGATAATTACAATACGTGTACAAAAACCCCAATCAGTTATGCTCCAAGGTACATCGGCCTTATAAAGTGAGCTCTTTTGAAACATATTACTTTGTCAGTATATCAAAAGAAGTATCTAAGTCAATCGATAACTCAATTCAAGAACACCAAGTTCTGATAACATTGCTCAGCTAGAACGCGTTTATAAGCTATCCATGCAACCAAAAAATATCCTCAAAGGGATTATAATGAATCATAGGTGTGAATGTTATCCTTCAATAAGAGCTGGTAGTAAAAAAGATCTAGTATTGCTACAGAATAGTACCACTAATATATTGAATGACTCAACATAATAAATCGAGAATGGACAACAAAATGGCGATTCGTTAGCGTAATTTGGATGTAAATATTACTTATATTTGCCAACTTCTATAGCACGTTTATATGTCTAAATGTGTGAATTCAAATTGTGTATTTTTCTGCATAAATCGTGTAGTATCGATCTGTTTTCATAATTCTCTACGTCCAGTTTATTCTGTACTGCTACTTCCTTTTTATTTGCTATTACTCTATCCCTACAACGAACTTTCCGATTTTCATTTCATTTGGACCCGGTTTATTTTTCAGAGCATTAACGAATTTCTGGGATTGGATGAGTGACTATACTAAATATTCATAATCATTTATAGTGACTCATAGATTTAAAACAGGGCGCGGTTTGTTAAATTTGTTGATAGTGTGCACGAACGGACTCATATTTTCGTCTTTCATTCCACTGTTAACCGAAAAAATAATGGTATTGGAGTTCATAGCATGAATTGTGTAGATCTGAACAAAAAAGTGCTCAGTCATTGAATGTTTCATCGACATACCAATGGTGACACTGCCCTAATTATTTCGAATAAAATTTACTTTTTATTCAGTCCATCATATAAAAAAGAAATTCTCTGTCAATCGTCTCGTATTCGGACAGCAGATTGAAGACGCCTAATAGTCATATATGCATTGAATCATTTGAAAAACTGCTGGAGATTGGGCTGACGTTGCATACGAACAACCAGAAAATACAGTAGCTGAGATTTAGCCTATCGCTTATGTTTATGAAGTAGCTCATTTTTTAATTCGGTTGATTGCTTTCTCACTCTCACCTTAGTTACATTTCGATGACGCATAAAAAAACGTAATCTAGATGTAGTTTGTTGCTTTTGTGTAAAATGATATAGTTTTGACTTCTAATAGAATAATATACTTAAAATAAATGAATGCAGATTTACTTTATACATAATTGCCCTTACTGCGATTAATTGGTCGTGGTATGCCTTATTATCTGAATTTTCTGTCGCTTGCAAATTTATCTACTACTGAATTGGATGATTTTTAGACGAACTGCTAGTTGTTTTTCATTCGGTCGTCCTTATTAACGTTCACTCTTGTTTTATAATATTCAGGAAGTCAATATTTTAGTAGCATTATTTTACTGGATCAGTAAATCGCTCTTATTGGAGTAAATCAAGGCGAGTATAGTGCTTGTGGTTAGTCACAGAAGTCTGTATCTTCCCGTTTCTGGTATTCACCATTACCATACCCATTAAAGAAGTTAATTGATATCTGAATTGAGCAGCTTAGAGTATAGCGCGTTGACGCTTAAAGTAATATACAGTGTTCGAGCCTTGGTATAAAAAACCTTGGGATGGATGTGTTTATGTAATGAGTCCTAAATAGTACAAAAGTATTTCGCTACTAGCAACTATCTAAAATTATGACAAATAATACATTTTATTCGCTAAGCCTCGCAATAAGCCGTGATTATTGTTCGTATAAATTTATCTGAAATCGGGTAATGTAACAGTCGTAGTACGAGTATTAAATGTGTAGATCGTGTTCAACGGTTCTTAAGACTAGTCGACTGATTAGCTTCAAAGTGACTGAACTATTAATCTTGTTCAAATTATCTGAAACACCAGGTAATGGTCCATGTCCCTGAATAATAGTATGAGTGTTTGAGATAAAACGCTACCTAGATATAAGATATTCAGTTTATGTAACGATATCAAAATAAATATCGATTCAACCGTAACTACATGAATAAAAGTGACTTATTGTTTCATGTTATAGATATTTACCACCTGCGGAATGTCCAACGTGTAAAGGAAGTGGTATATCAGTTATTTTACAATGTATGATTTAATCTGAAACTCATATTTTTAAACCGTGATTGGAATCTCTCCGTTATGCTTAAAATATTTTAATTATCCCAAAGACAATGAAATGTTATTGATATCTGCTTTCTATGAAGAAACCAATCTGATTAATATCATACGTTGTAGATTTGATAAAGAAGTCATGAATTGACTGCAGCTGAAAATACGAGTCATTAAATCTTGACTCAGTGGCATTATACTCATCATAAGATATGATTGTTCTACTATAAAACTACTGATCACCTCCCTGAGTAACATCACTTTGTAATTAAAAGTTACTTTGAAATCATCCAAAATGCTCTCAAGATTATACCAGCAAATTATTTATTCTTGTTAAATACTATACTGCTTTGGCTTTGCTTTACTGTTCTAGTTAATTCTATACTGCAAAATGTATCACTTAGTATAGCGTTTGTGTTGATCAATTGTAATTAAATCATGATGATCTGTTTTCTCGAAATTCACACCATAGGCTACAATATATGACACGAATTTACAAGCTTCCATCTGACTTCTTTGAGAGAAAATGAATGACTTGGAACTAAATTTTTTATTACAACTCCTTTGATAGTTTATAAAATTTTACATTTCGAAAATCAGAAAACTTCTACAGGGATCTCTATGGTGGTAGATTCTGTTGTAAGATAAGCGGTTGTGAATTAATTGTTAGTAGTTCCTCTGAAAGTCAACTTTTTTCCAGCAAGGTTACTCGATGTAGATTTATAAATCTAGAGTTTATTAGCAATAACTCAAATCATAATTGAGATAATTACCATGTTGGTGCACAATACAGTTTGTAGAGGTTATTTCATCTATCTATCTGAATCCGATAAATAATATCCTGTTAACTGAGTTTAAACATGCGAATATACAACCATCATTCCAATGTTACGATTGGATTTACTATAATAGCCAATGAAAAGTTATTAATTGTAATATTAACCCCAATGTGAAAGTTTTTATGATATGATTGTAGAATATGAAGCGGACTTTGTGGAAAAAGATGCTTGTTCTAACTGCAGTCCACCAAAATTATAGAGTTATGTCCTCTATATCTGACTCCAATAAATAATATCCCGTTAACTGAGTATTTACGCACGTCAAATCTATTAGTTTTATGAATTTACTCGAGATTATTCAAAAGATAGAACACCAGTTGTGGGGATATTATATTGTTAATAATTGGTAAAATTCGCAAGCACATAGAGTAGTGAGTGTGTCTGTGAGCGTTAGATAATCCATATATATATTTGAGTGCTAATCGAATGTTGATAGATTGTTAATTGTCTGTGCTTGCAACCAATGGGCGAATAGATAAAGATTAATATGCAGACGAGCATTCAATCAGACTCCCACAATTTTATGTAATGGGTCAAATGTTTAAAATGCAGCAAGTAGACTAATAATAAGTATTCGGTGCGCTTACTATGTTTCTCCCATCCAGAACATTGGTGTATTTTTCTTAAAACATCCATGTTCGAGAAAAAGATAAAAAAAGTTGTTTTTGGAATATATGTGCAACTCGATACGATAAGTAAGTGTTAGGTTGAAATGACAGCATATATATATACATATATATATATATATATATATATATATATATATATAAATCAACCGACTGCATGAAGGTAGAAAGTGGGTATAATGAAAATTCCTGGGGCCGATAAAGAATACTTACACCTGTTGCCCCTCGTGGTGGAGCATAGACCTCCCACCAGCATTCTCCATCCAACTGTGTCCTGGGCAATCCTTTCCAGTTGCTATTCATACTTTTCATGTCTACTTTCAATTCTCGACGTAGTGTGTTCTTTGGACATCTTTTCCGTTTCCCTTCAGGATTCCTAGTTGCAGCCTGCCTCATGATGCAGTTTGGTGATTTTCGTAATGTACGTCCTATCCACTTTCAGCGTCTTTTCCTAACTTCCTCCTCAGGTAGAACTTGGTTTGTTGTCCGCCACAATAGATTGTTGCCGATGCTTCTGGCCAACGGACATTGAGTATCTTGTGTAGACAACAGTTTATGAATAACTATACCTTTTTAATGATAGTTGTGATAGTTCTCCGAGTTTCAGCTCCGTACAGTAGGACCGTCTTGGTGTTCGTATTGAAGATTGTGACTTTGATATTGGTTGAAAGTTGTTTTGAGTTCGATATTTTCTCCAGTTGTAGAAATGCTATATTTGCTCTGCCAGTCTTCACCGTTACGTCTGCATCAGATCCTCCACGTTCATCGACGATGCTTCCCCTGTACATAGAAGATTTTACATCTTCCAGAGTTCCGCCATCAAGTATGATGAAGTTGGTGTTCTCCATGTCGTATTTGAGAGTCATCCTTATCCTTTGTGTGTGTTGAGGCCTACTGCTTCCGGGGATGCTGCAACACCATTTGTCTTCTTCTGCATTTGTTTGTCTGTATGAGATATAGAGATATGTCATCTGCCTAGTCCAAATCGTCTAGTTGCATGCAACCTGTCTATTTTATCCCGTGCTTCCGTGAGATGTGGAAGTCTTCATTATTCAGTCAACCACGAGAAGAAAAAGGAAAGGAGAGAGTAGGCAGCCTTGTCTGACACTATTCCTCACTTGGAATATATCTGCTGGCTGTCCACCATGCAGGTCTTTGCAGTGTAGTCTGTCGCGTGAACTCAGTATGATATTGAAGAACTCGGGTATACCATAGTCTCGAAAGAGTTTCCACAATGTTCTCCTGTCCATACTGTTGAATACTTTCCCATAGGTGATGAAATTGATTTATAGTGACAGATTCAATTGATTGTTCCACAATGATCCGTAGTGTGGCGATTTAATATGTGCACGACCGATCCTTACGGAATCTGACCTGTTGATCTCGAAGTTGGGCGTCTACTGAGTGTTTCATCCGGTTCAGCAACACTCTATTGAAAACCTTTACTGGTATTGACAACAGTGTGATCCTTCTGTAATTCCCACATTTTCTCAGACCTTCTTTCTTTGGTATCTTGACGAGATATCCTTTTTTCCAGTCTGTCAGTAATTGTTGGTCCCCCGGATCTTCCTGAATAGAACTTGGAGCATGTTTGCAATTACTCCCATGTGTGACTTTAGCATTTTGAATGGTATACTTTCAGGTCCTACTGCTTTCCCATTCTTGATTTTTCTGATGACTATCCTGATTTATTCCGTCGTCGGTTAAATGAAATCTGTAGGGAGGTCTGTAGGTGCTACTTGTATCTTCGGTGGGTTCAGTGGAGCTGACCCATTCGAGAGTTCCTTGAATTATTCCAATTATCGGCTCCGCTGTCCTTAAATTTTAATGATTGGTTTTCCTTCTTTGTCCTTTACCGGTCTCTCTGACTCACCACATTTCCCTGCCAGTTCCTTCATTGTATCATATGGTTGTTTTATATTTCCTTCTTTTGCAGCTTTCCCTCTGTCGTTTCTAGCTCTTCCTCATATCTATGCTTGTCGACTCTAATGATCTACTTCACTTGCTTGTTTGCTTCTGTGTACTCAGCTTATGCCTTGACTTTCTGTGCTTTTGTTTGGGTATTGTTAATTGCTGTCTTCCCGTTCTCCCTTTCTTCATTCTTGTCCAGGGTTTCTTCAGATACTTTCTTAATGATGATGCTTGTTGCAAGTCAGCGATTCCTGAAACGTCGAAGTTAGTGCTTCTTTAATCCCTTTCCGGTTGTCCTCCATCATAGTTTCTTTTTATTTCAGTAGATTCAGTAAGGCTTGGAACCTGTTTTTGAGAGATCTCTGTAGATCATCAGCGTTGATGATGCTTGTACTGCTGTTTGTCCAGTTTCCCTGTGTTTCTTAAGCTTCAGAGCGTCTCTCTGTGTGTGGAGCATTAGCATTTTCTCGACCGGACTACAGCAACATCTCTCCCAAAACTGACCGGTTCTATCCAGCTAGAGCCCAATGGGTTTCGCTCATTTTGAGTATTACAAAGTTGTATCTCTTCATTTCCGTTGCTATATGACTGGTCCTCCGAGTCTCTCACGTTGTCCGGACACTGAATGAACCCAAATTAATCGTTACTCTCTTTGTTAGAATGAGCATCGGTCTCATGACTTCCGAAGAATCTCGGCCTCCATCATGAGGCGTTACAATTCTTCCTTCAAATCGGAAGACAGAGTTCAAATGCTTCAAAATGTTTATTCTGTTGATGAATATAAAGATAATAGTACGGGAAAGGAGTTTTTGTATTGTAAGAATAATTTCAGATTTCGGTCGACATAAATATGGTGGTTGCTACATATCAGTCTGTCCAATGTACTCTTCTCCCTGATCTTGTTGTGGTTTCCATTAGTGACAAACTTCAGTGTGAAGTGATATTTATCGCAGGTGGTTAGTTTGATACTTTCTCTGCTAATGATTAAGATGGTTTTATAATTGTCAATTTTTCGGTGGAATCCAGAAACGCTGATTTTACTCTGTCAGTGCTGACAATGTCATGTTTACCGGCTTTCTACTACTACTTTTTGCTGTCTTTTCGGATGACTTTAAAAGGACCATCGTAAGTAGTCTGTAAATTTTGTTGTACTCCATCATTTCTGATGACGACGTGTGAGCGATTGTCTGATTCAGTGGGTATGAGTGATCTCTCTTTCTAGGTTCTTGGTTCGATGAATCTGATGAATTTTAGTTGCTGTTTTAATGGTTGCACGTAGTTGGTTATGTTTGCTGGAATGCTAGCAGTCCCTCTGTCTTAATGCGGTGCACGTAAAATAACAGAAAATATTTGTGAATTCACTAGTAAGAATAAGTATTAAGTGGATTAATAATAAAATTCTTGTTCGTGGGTACTTAAGGTTCTTTCTGTACAAGGTTTTCACTATGTAAATATAATATCAGTATAAGATATTTTTGGTTAATAAATATTATTGGGTTCCAATGAGAAAAACATCTGTGGGGGAAAAACCACATGAACAAGGTTTCAACATTCAAAGTCGTATTTCTTTATCATGATTCACAATCCATAATTTCTGCCTTGGATTAGCCTTGGTGTGACTATAAAAATGAAGATGATTTTAGTGAAAAGAAGCCTGACGCAGCAATTGAACTTTCCGGGAATCAAATCCACTTGCTTTGCCATCAGTTTTGTGAAATTCAAAATAACTCATACACTAAACATATTCTCTCAAAGCCACTAAATTTCTGCCGACACACTATGACTACACAAACACTTCAGGACCCCAGTCCTTTTAATGTTTTTAAGTTGCAGATTCTCCTCAAAAGCTGCATACTTCATTTTGCTTAATACTTCTTGTTGAAAGGTATCTTACATGATTAATATCTGTATATATTTTTATGTAAGATTTACTAACACTTGTATTCGTGAGACAAATTCATTTCTGTCCAGATCGATAGCACGGGCTTATGTCTAAATCTTCCTAGTTTCTTCAGCATCAACTAGAGGACAGAAACATTGCCTTTCTCGAAATAAATTGTTATACTTGTATTATCCCAATGAGTACGAAAACTAAATTTTTTGACGTTGTGCTTTCGAACTATTTAAGTTTGTATTAATTTTGGTTCGGTGGCTTACACTGAGTAACGAAAAGTCAGAAAGGTCAACTTTTCTTCTTTTTGGGATACTACAAATAGTTTAATTTATTTTCAACAATCTACCGAACTCTCGATTTATTTGAAACCATCAAATCAAACCATCAAGTCAAACCTTGATAATTATACATACAAATTTCCATTCTCTGTTTATTTCCAGAGAACATTTGGAAGCAAGATATGTAGAACACCAACGCAGATGATGCCTGTCAAATAATTGTGGGAGGCTTACTCGAGTTAGGCAGATAAGGTGTGACCAAACAGTTGACTTCAAAGTCGTAGCTCACATATAATACCTAACGTGCACCAACAGGTACTATTACTGCTTTGATGACTGTCCAGCACAAACGACGTTATTAAGAAATACATTAGCGCGAGTAGGTACAAGAAACAAAGTGCAACCACTGCCAAATAGGCCAATTTGTTCTTTACAATCCCGTGAAAAATTTCTGAAGTTCAGTTCAAAACTAGAAGAAACAATCTCTTTGTAACTCTTAGCGTGTTTGGAATATTTGTAAAGACCGATACAGAAGGTCTAGAGATTTTCTGTTCCATAAATAAAAACTACCAGAGATACAAGTCTGTTGTTCCTAGATTGTGAACAACATATTGGTTATTGAATTGCATGTTTGACTGTATCACGAAATTTGTTTTCTACGGATTGTATGCTTTTCTAAATTGGGCACATAAAAACGCGCACTCGTAGTTTCGAAATACTGAAAATCACTATTTTCAATAAATAAAGTCTCGATTGAAACATATTTGGCAGTTTCTTTATTCATGATGAACACAAATAAAGCTTGTGCTTCTTGCTGCGAAGTCGTTTATCCTTTGGAATTGATAAGATGCTTTGATCAGGTTTGTGAAACATCTTTACATTGTACTAAAAATACTTTTAGTTTCGTTTATAGATTGTTTTAATTTCACGCTTATTTGTAGTCTTTTCTTTTAAACATTTATGTGGATATAAATAAACCGATACATCTTAAGTAATATATGTGTATGTAAATCGGAAATAAGAATCTCTCCTGAATAAGATCTTCTTAATGTAGTGCTTTATTTTGAAGTAGTGATCAGCCTAATCAAATGTCACCTTTCGAAACCCCTGAGAATTTCTACTGTGTGATGCGATTGTGTGAAATGTACTGCATTCTATACTTTAGAAATTTAGCTATCTTTAGTCGGAACTTCTCTTAATAATTTACATTTATGTTATGCGAAACGCGCAGGGAAAATAAAACAAAAAATTTAGGTAGATAATTTGGACGGTTATGAGAAATAAGTTTTGTGTTTTCAGTAGAACTAAAATCGTCATATTTACTTAAAACGTTCTCGTAGGGACATTTTGACTTTCACAGATTAAAATAGACCATCACTAGAATAAAAACAGTTCTCTGTTTCGTTTCACAATCCTCAATATGTGTGCAACTAAAAAACGTTTATTTTTGTGGAATCTTAGCGATTACAATATTACCATGAAGAAACTGGTTTATGAATATTTGAGATTTCCAAAAACAGTTTCATAAGTTTAAATTATACAAGACTTAAAAAACAGGCTTTACAAATGTTATATGGCCAGAAAAATTCTTATTTGTACTACATTAATGGCGAAAAATTTTTTTTACAAACCGAAATGAATGTGAACTCGAATTTCGCTAAAGTTTTAGCAGAAATGAGACACAGTACAAGACTTATCACTAGGACAATTTTAAGTGACTGTTACAACTACTGTAGCTTATTTAACTGGATACAAAGTATACTCACCTTTGTATCCTGACGATAATTAGTCCCTATAATTCGTTTGCTTAGTGTACATAGGCATAGGAATGTTAATTGACAATCTCAACGGTTAAGCCCTATATGTATGCTAGCATTGTCCTTCTAACTTCAGTCGTTCAAAGAGCTATCATACATGTAATTTGCCTAAAACACAAGCAGATATGTAGAAAAACATATTTATGTAATAGCTAGTAATCTAAAGTTAGTGGTTGTATAAGATTTGATAATAACTAACCTTAATATGGTCAAGACTATTTTTGCACCCATTTACTTCATGATGCGTTACGGTCAACTTTCTGAACAAAGTTAGACAGTAGAAATCAAGATATAGTAAGACGGCATTTTCAAGTCGTTTTAAAATGATCCATCCTTTTAGAGTATGCGATGTACAAGTTGGGGGTATTCTAAAAATAGATTTTTCATCATAAGTAACAAAGTTGTAAATTTAAGGAAGCTATAAAGACATTTTATTCAATAAAATGACCAGCAAATATTTTAAACCTTGTTATATTCATTAGGATTTTTAGACTTGTGTTTGTTGATACTTTGAGTAATCATTGCTCCCACATGTTTGACAGATACCATTTGGTTTTCAGTGTCTCAGGCATACCACTTCCATTTTATTTATAATATATGGAACATGAGAAAGCTAAACAGAATGAAATTCTTATGAGACGATTAGCGGTTAGTTTGTGCTAATAAACTTTGTAAGACGATCACTGTCTCGGCAAACTAAAAGTTTCCATAACAAACTAAAGATATTAAAAGATTTCTTTATTGGTTACATGGTTTTACCTAACTAATAATTTGTCTGTTGATTCATCAAAACTCCACTATGCTCACGTAATTTACACTTTTATATGTCAGGGATTAACTGTTGTCCATTTCGGTTAAACGTTACATAACTAATATACGCCATGATATAAGCTCTGTAAAAAGTTTCTTTAGATCAAATAATGTCAAGATTTTGGCCAACAAGCTACACGACTAGACAACATTGCGCACAGTTGTAGAAAGTTATTGGGTTCACTTACGCTTATTATTTAGTTGTCTTATAAATGAATGAAAAGTACTTTTAGAACTTAAAGTTTTTACATATTAAACAGTAAATTGTAAACATACATCCAAATATTAAAGTAGAAATAATTAATCGCTTCATCATAGCCAGTTCCTAAGTCAGAATAAGTCAGTCTGGACAATTTCGTGTTATAAAAATCTTTCAGCGTCATTCATAATATAATTTTTATGACATTTGTAATGAAAGCTTGAATTATTACATGACTCGCCCTACTTTTCTTTTCTTGATTAGTGTGCAAGTAAAGTTCAGCGAATTTTTTTGATTGACATATTGTTAGTCCAGCCACCTGGACCATTCAGCTTTTAACTTTTTAACATTAATTTCAGCATTTTGAGGTCTGCAAATTCAAAATTATTTTCTTTAAATATGAACAGATGAAAACCGAGATTAACGATATTTTTCAGCATTTGGTATCTAGATTAATGCAAATGTTAGTTGTTTTTATTCGCTAATAGTTTTTTGGCTATATTTCTTAAGAATAGTTTAAGCGATTGTACCATTTTGGAGGAAAGTTCATGGTGAATGTTAGTAATCCAAGGTAATTATCATTTGCTCCAACTCCTTGATATGAATAGTTAAGTTTTAGACACTTTGGTCGTTTACTTAGTTTAAATCAGCACACAGTGCTCAAAAACTATTAGAAAGTTAAACATAACCTTTTTCGTTACAGTTATGTACTAAATATTGCACTTGTGTAGTAGCAACAAATCAATGTATTTTACTCATATGATACAAGAAATTTATTTGTTAAATCATGTAGAAAAGATAATTAAACACTTAGGCCGTGAAATGTTGTTTCTAAAAAATGATGATCACTGGTAACCGGCGTATTACGAAACATTGAATAGATTCATTGTATTTTATTCCCTTAAAGCTTGTTCTCTTTTACTTTTCCCTGTTGTTTGACAAATAAAAGGGAAAGGTAGTGCATATGCTTAATTATCTTAGTTTGTTCAGGCTGGATGCCAACAAAGTGCTTTAATTAATTAAGTTGAATAAATTTAGTATGCTTCTGAATTTATGATTTAGTAAAGTGGTTCTTATTAACAATTTTTATCTTGAATGAGTAGAATAACACACAAATATTGAATCATTGATTTTCAAATATACTCTGTGCCAGCTAAGATATTAGTATTGCAAGATATGATGCAAAGGAACGATCACACAGTTTGTTAATTATCTCCTGCATGATGAACAAAATGAATTATATATATATATATATTCTCAACAATTCATACCTACCTTTGAAAATGTTTGTTAAAAAATCTGTTTTTACTTCTATAACATAAATAAGAAATTATATTCAAAATTCATAAAGTTGTGTATAATATCTGTCATATTTGTTTTTATGGTTTTATGAATTTTCCTCCTTTTTCGTATGTGTTTATAACTGTTATAGGTATGGCACAGAAGATGTTTCCGTTGTCAGCACTGTGGGATGGCCTTGAGCATATGTAACTACCATGGTGGGTATGATAAGAAGCCATATTGTGCAGCGTAAGCTTATTTAAATCTTACAATTGTTGATCATTTTAACAGAATCATTTTATTTACTGCTGATTTCACACTGTAGCTTGTACATGTTTAGAATAAGTTTCCTACATTCAGCCTGAGAATAGAATTTCATTGAACAGCATCAGCTGATGTGTGAATAAAAATTTTAACAAAAATGATCATTTGTTTCTTATCGACTGAAGGCTACACATTGGTTATCTATCATTGAGTCAAAACAGCATCCTCAAACTCCAGTAATGCACATAATTTCCTTAGAATTTTCTGATTCATACTACCAACCTAGATCAACAAGATATATAGCACGAAAGTCATCCAATGTAATCGGTAGTGATTAGAAACAACTGCAAATTATAAAAATGACTTTATCTGTATAACTTTAGTATTTACCCGCCTAAAATGTTCAACAAGTTTTTTGATAAATTTGGTCCTAATGTATCACACAAATTATTGAGAATGAAGGATTGTGAGAGATCCTGGACAATTTTGCGCCCAGATAATATCCACTTTAAATACTGAAACTAAGTCAAACATATACATTGAGGTTACGTACAAGTGGTTAAAGTTTAAATGAGTCTACTAGGATAGTTTTCTTCACAAACTGTAATTACCTGAAATAATATCAAAAAAACCGTGGAAAAATGAATAACCGACTTCTTACAGTTCAGTAAATTCTAACAAACTCACCAATAATCCCATACAAAGTCAAAACTCAGGATTTCCAGATCGTTTTTATTCACACTATAGTTAGTTCGAATCCAATCCTTCACATTATGAAATGCTGATACAGGCTGGTGTCAGAATTGTGAATTGTTGGTCTAAACATCGATGACTTAAATACTACATAGTTGTGTTTTCAGTCCAATCTAAGGTGAACCAGTAGGTGAGCACCACTCTTAACATCCACACTAGGTCAAAAGAAGCTATCTAGTGGATGAATAGTAGATCCTACTTTGCGACAATAACTATGTCTAAATGAAAATAGTACCCACAAATTATACGTTCATTTAAGTTAAAAAGTTTTACTTATTTTCCTGGAAATCTACTTTTCTAATATGTTGCTTACAATTTACTTTTCATCTCTGTGTAGACACACTCCAAAGCCGACCTCATTTACATTCATTCCGGATACACCAGAACTGTTGAGAGTAGCTAATAATACAAGAATGTTTAGCAGTGTAAGTGTTTTTCTGTATTTCCAGCTGTTTTCCTTAGATCACTTTAATGACCATTATCGAATCCATGGCATTTTTATTGAAGTTAAACGTAATTTTAACCATGAACTAAGGGCTAAACTAGAAGTCATCTCGTTTTTATGAAAAGTGATCCAATATTTTGAACCAACATCTGAAATATACTAGTAAATAATAAGGTATTAAATAGGTATCTATTCTTGATTCATTTGAAATTTTATCCATAGTTTTTTACTATCCCCATACAAAGATACTAGAAATCTATCCTCATCTAAATGGATGGTTTGATCAAATAGATAATATTAGTGTTTTTGATAATGAGCATCTAAATATGATGAAAAAATATAAATCAATATGACAAGATATCTTCATACTTCACGCACAAAAGTATTGAAAAATAGGTTTATGTACTTCAAACTTATACACAGAAAAGGTTGTCGACAGAAAAAGAAACATGTACACTCAATTACGATCAAAAAGTCTTTGGATGACAGATACTTAGCTGGTGACCTGAGTAAATTAACACATATTACAACCAACTAATTCAAGCCAAACTGACTAACATAAATTGCTTTAACTAAGTGAAAATAATTGTTGAGATAAACAGAAGTTTGTAATAAATGAAAGTGTATATGTAAATGAAATTGATGTACACTTACTCAGTAAATGACATTTTATTTTAAAGTTTTGTAATTTAAGGACCTAGTGGTGAAGTCCCCTGACCTATGAAATTTTATTCCCACTAACGTAAACATTTATGGATTATTTCTCATCCAAATAACGAATATGACAGACGCATAGATTATTTAAAATCTTTTCTACTAAATGTATTGTAGAATGAGATACAACAGAGGTAATAGCACCAATCACTAGGTTGAACATTCATTCCTAAATAAATCAACTTTATTCCATTACAGAGAGTTTGCACAAAAAATAATTCAACTCATTTTTATTGGTTGTTCAAGTCTTCCTATTGATATTAATACTACAATTGATCCTGAACGGATCGCCTCGATATTGTCATGAATTCATAAGCATTAAATAGAGGACGGTTGGTAGAAAGCAGTGAGATCCAGGACGCGCTTTTAGTCATATTCGGGACTTGTTAACAGGATGTAGCTTCATTTTGGAGTTGTTCACTCCGGAACTAAAATTCAGTGTCGTCTGAAGCATTTAAGAAGAACAATACTATGTTCGAGTCTCGGAGTGACCATCAACTCCGGAATAGAGGCACATCCCTCTGACGAGTTCCAAACAGAATGAAATGCGTCCTGGATTTCACTGTTAGCCACTTTCCACTTGTACTCATAATAATTCAACTCTTTTGATAGATATAAAGTAAATAATTTCAACTTAGGATTTTGCTCTATTATAAACGCCTAACGAATAAAGTTTCTGTGGAATGGCTTAACAAAATATCTTTAATATATACAATATATAACTAAGTTTATAACTATATTTAATCAATAAAAATTAACTTCTATTACTCTACTAAAATTATAGAAATGTTACTTAATTGTTTGTTGATTTTATTATTTTTCTAACATTATGATCGGTTATTGTATAGAGTTTATAACAATGACTTACAAAACAGTTGCATTAATTAGAGCAAAGTAAAAGAAATCCAGTCCCGACTGAATTGTAGTTGCTTACAATTTTCAAAGTAAACAATAATGGCAATAATGAAATATATGAAAATGACAAAATGATTGTGAAGATTTAGAGACTTACTTCCAGTTATGTCAGTCAAGGTCTAAAAATAACCGGGTCTTCACGACCTCTTGAATCTCTGCCAAAGAGCTGGCAGTCCTTTACGAAGGTACAATCTTTGAGTGAAATTTAACGATACCACGCCGAAATATATCGAACTGGTTTCAAATCTCAAGCCTTCCAGTTGACAGTCGAGAGTTAATGAATAGGGCTACTCCTTACATTTGATCTACACTGTGCACTAACCGATTCCCAGTAATAACATTTAAGACTATGGAGCTGGGTGTAGCAGCTCTGAATCTCATGAGAAGCACCGGTTTTCTGAAGATTATAGGCAACCCTTACAGACAGATTCTTACTAACAAGAAAACTGAGTTCGTAGCTTTCTGTCTCTAGTCACCTAAGGTCGACCTTTTTTGGCGTCTCCTAGTAGATCTAACTCTGTGTATACTGAAAGTTCAACAACAATCTGAACATGATAAATCTTTATACTAATCGGGGTTTTTCATGATATCCCACCTTGTTACACAATAGGATCTTCCTTCATTTAACTAAGTCATATGCTATCTACCTCAGAATGTACACTTTTTATTGAACTGAAATTTGTCAAACCCGAAATCCAAAAATTTTTATTGAGACTGAGCTCCTTGAAATTTGAAAATGAACTAAATAATCTTCAGCAAATTATTTTGCAAGTTGATTACTTATTTTGTATTCTAACAGAAAATAATACAACCCATAGAAAGAAACACTTTCAATTTATAAAGAATTTATGCACACACATATATTTGTTATTGGTCATTGAAATTCTTTGACCGTTGTCTAAAATATCTTAACATAGGTATTATTTTATCTCGATTTGAACACTTTTCACCTGGTTAATTCTTTGAAAGCACAAGACTGTCGGCATGGAAGTGTACTGGTTAACTGATTTATTTTGTCAGTACAGATTGTTTTCATTTTTGAGTTATTTCTAGCTGGTCATTTAAATATATTTCCTACACCGATTATCCCTGAGTGAAATATTTATTTGAAAGTACGGAAAATGTACTAATGAATTCTAAGTTATAAAAGCCATTCAATTGAGTAGTATAGGGAAATACAGAAAAGTATTATCCTAATAAGATAAAGTATTCTGTCCCGTTCTTTACTAATGTATAGTAGAATCTGAAATTAAATTTAAAACTATCTTCAAATGATTGTTTTGATCAGTCTCTTTTATAATTATAATTACTTTATTAACAAAAATACTCTTCACTGAAGACAATTGGTGAATGGTTGCTCAACTTCGTGGATCAGTTGAAATTAGTTATGAACACCGTTGGATGCCAGCTCAGTGGCCTATCGGTTAAGGGCTTCGGCTCGAGACTGGTAGGTCCTGGGTTCGAATCTCGCGAGAGCGGGTTCGTGGGTGCTCACTGCTGAGGAGTCCCATAATAGGAGGAAACAGCCGTCCAGTGTTTCCAGGTTTTCCATGGTGGTCTAGCTTCAATTGACTCTAACTTCCAACTATGAAAAATACTCTTCTTCAAAAATCATCAACACTATGTAACCCATGTTTAAGTAAACTGAACAAAATTCGGATAAGAGTCTATTTTTATAAAAAAACTATGAAATTAGATATTGAAATTAAAGTAGTCTCTCAGTCAGTTACCCGATGCTGTACACAATTCGGTCATGTATGTTTTGGAGCAATAAAAAGAGAATCATAAATTATGCGTTGTATTTGTAGATATATATCAGAAAGATTTACTTGGGCCCCCCACCTAAATAGTATGGCATATTTATGACAATAAACTAAATATGTTTGAAACTATGCGAAATTGTTGGTTTAATTTCAGACTGTTAAAGATATTTTGTGCTAATTAATCCTAGAAACTACAACACCTAGATTGAACGATTCATTTTTAATGGCTACAAATGTACACAGTGAGTAATTGGACTACGTGTTAGTTTTGTCATCATCCCTTTTTCAATAGAATGCAATGATCCCTGTAGACTACGGAATCATATTAACCATTCTTAGAATCAATTCATTTGTTAAAGTAAATGAACACATATTCGTAGACTCTTCATGTCTACACGTTTAATAAAATTTACAACATTTTCTGACCTAAAAACATATATATATATATGTATTCATTCTAGATAAGATACAGTGCAGATGCTCAACGTATTAGAAGCAAAATTACATCATTTCCAGATGACTTGTGGACTCAACATACACTGAGACTATCGAAACAATACAGTGAGGTTAGCTGATACATGACAAAACAAAAGCATTTTCATTTTGACTGTTCTTTTACAAAACCCTATACATTTGCTGACAATATTTGTATAGCTTTTATTGTTATAGTATGTAGTCAAACTAAGACATTGGTCTAATGAAACAGCTGAAATTACATCTAAAACGTAGATATTACACAATACGTGCTTGTATTTGTAAATGAGTACAGAAAATTTCTCATGATTGTTTTTGTGTGTGTGCTTATGTTAATTAAAGGAAATGTCCAATACTTCTAAGCATAACAGATCATATTGACCTATTAACTTCTTTGTTGATAATCCAATATATTCATCGTTTTATTTGTTGTTTTAAGAATTTCAGTTTTCTTTTTGGTGAAGTAGTCTGGTTATAGATGATTATTAGATTCTTATTTTTTATTATAAATAGAGTCTAATGTGTAAGTTTGATTCTTCCCTATACATATAAATTCAACAGTTATTAATTAAAACTATTCTAAATGTAATAATTATTGATGAATAATTTACTTCTTCTGGTTAATATCTTTTAGTCAATGACTGAATCAACCATCTGAGTTATGGAATAATTCATAAAAACACAAATGTTTCTCTGTATTTAAGAAGGTTTAGTTTAATGTTATTATTATTACTATGTATTCACGTATAGGCAAAATGTGGTTCCGAACTAATTTGCAATAATTATAAAGAAATGATAAAATATCACATTTATAACTCTTTAGTCTAGTTAGATTAGTTAGTATTATCATTATTACTACTGATAATTTGCACTTGTAAATATATTACTAATAAACTGATAGGATATATATATTTAACAAGAGAGTTCGAAGCGTGAATGTTCATGATAATGCAATGACAAAAAATTGTAATATCGATCCATTTTGTAAATGATAACAAAATGAGGTTGTGCAATTAATGCAGGTCGTGCATCAATGAAAGATGTGTTTAAAATTAATATACTAGCGACGAGTTATAAGGTCAGTTATGTAAACCAACCGAAGTAAATGTTTAGG